CCCACCCGCCACCAGCACTGCCAACCCACTGCCCACACCAGGACACGGTCACAAGTGCACATCAGTCCCTCCCACCCGCCACCAGCACTGCCAACACACTGCCCACACCAGGACACGGTCACAAGTGCACATCAGTCCTTCCCACCCGCCCCCAGCATGGCCAACACACTGCCCACACCAGGACACGGTCACAAGTGCACATCAGTCCTTCCCACCCGCCCCAGCACTGACAACCCACTGCCCACACCGGGACACGGTCACCTGCTCCAACAGCAGGAAGCAAGGTTGCCAGGTGTGCCTTCCCTGTCACCCCACGTCCACTGTAGCTGGGTGATGATGCTGGCAGTGTGGGGACAGCAGTGCCCTGCCTCCCTCACCTCCTGGATTCCTCCTGACGCCTAGGCCTTCTGGAGCCACCCTGTCCCTTGCTGTGGTATTTCTCACCCAGGCTGCTCTCAGACTTGCAGAAATCCCCCTGCCTCAGCCTTCCAAGTACCAGAGATATGTCACCACACCCTGCTGGAGTCACACCCAGCTTTTCCTTGACATACACAGGAGTGTGGGATAGGATCATGTGCTGAGGCAGGGGGATTTCTGTCTGCCAAGTACCACTCTTGGGCACCTGAGCCCCGCCCTGGGCCAGAGTGAAGAAGAGCTTTTCAGAGATGAGTAGAAATATGTATTTTTGAGCAGGGTCTTGCTGTGTAGCCCAGGCTAACCTCAAACCTGAGCTCCTGCCTCTGCCTCCAAAGTGCTGGGGTGACAGGTCTGTGCCACCCTACATAGCTCGGGGTTGCTTTTAGAATGTGAAAACACACCTCACTGGGTTCTTTGTTTGTTTGTTTTTTTTCCAAGACAGGGTTTCTCTATGTAGTTTTGGTGCCTTTCCTGGACCTCGCTCTGTAGACCAGGCTGGCCTCGAACTCACAGAGATCCTCCTGCCTCTGCCTCCCCAGTGCTGGGATTAAAGATGTGCGCCACCACCGCCTGGCCTACACCTCACTGTTTTATGGGGGTAATGACGAAGCCAAGCATAGTGGCACACGGGAGGAGGAGAGAGGAGGAGCAAGGTCATCCTGGGCTACAGAGTGAGTTCAAGGCCAGCCTGGGCTATGTGAGATGACCGCCAAGCCTGTGACCTGAGTTCAATTCTTGGGACCCACACAAAGGAAGGAGAGAATGGAGTGCATCAGACCGTCCCCGACCACACACACCATCCCTCCCCATGACTAAGAACCCTGACAGGCCCCTGGCCTGGCTGCCCACAGCAGCTTTCCTGCCGAGTGTTTTGTGCCCACACTGACCTGTGCAATGTACGCTCTGTACAGGAAGACATCCCTCTCGACTTCTCTCTCGGGACTGGACAGCTGTGGGGAGATGGGCAGAGTGAGGTGGACGGGCTGCTGGGCAGCTTCAGGGTGCACCCAGTCTAAATAGCTCTGGGCCTCAGCTGGAATCCAGGAGACCCAGAATCCCACGAGAGCCTCCAGAGGGCTCACAGTATGAAAAACCCGCTGTCTCAAAAACTGTGAGCTGGAGGCTGGACCACCATACCAAGTGTCACGGAGCGCAGTACCCTACAGCGGCATCAGCACTGTGGGCTCCAGCCCCGCTGGGTGCTGACAAGCCCTGCTCACAGCTCAGACGGGCTTTGATTTTACCACTGGGGGAGGTTTTTGGTATCAAATGTAGCTGAGAACAATCTTGAATGTTGGCTCTTCCTGCTTCTGCCTCCTGCATACCGGGATGACAGGTGTGCAGCACCATGCCTGTTAAATGAACGACTCTCAAAGGACCCTCAGAGAAGGGCGCCGTCAAAGATGGCCAGCCTGGGGCCCTGAGTCATCCTCGGTAAGACACCAATGCTGGCTCTTGGTGTCTTCAAGGTGGCGGACCTGTGGCCACCCTCCAGTGTCTGCTGCCCAGCTTCACTGCCTTTCAGGGACAAGGCCCCCAGGACCCCGAAGCAGGAAGTGTGAGGACAGGATGGCCTGCAGACCTGGCTGGTAGGAGATGCCAAGCGGGAGGATTTCCATTATCTCAAGATCAGCCTGGACTCTGAACACAGTGAGACTTTGCTGGGAACAGAGTTCAGGCCTGGGCTGGAGATGGCTCAGCAGTTAAGAGCACTGGCCGCTCTTCCAGAGGACTGGGGTTCAACTCCCAGCACCCACTTGGCAGTTAACAACTGTCTCTAACTCCAAGATCTAACACCCTAACACAGACATACCAATTCAAATGAAATAAGAGTAAATATATATATATTTTAAGAAGAGTTCAGGCCTTCCCAGCATCCCTCAAAGCCTGCAGAGCGGACTGTGAAGGAGACAGAGGCTTTGGAAGGAGTGAGGCAGTTGAGAGCTGCTGCTCATCTGAAGCTCAAGGCCTGTGTGTTCTACAGCAAGGGGGTGGCTGAATGAACCCCAGAGGAATGGGCTGAGGAGCCTCAAAATGACAGAGATGTTGAGTGTGTGCAGGCCTTGGATTCTATCCCCAGCACTTCAAGAGATGGAGGAAGACAGACAGACAGAAACAAAGACACAGGCAGGGAGACTAGACCCACCTACGATTTTGGCACACAGGCCAGGCCATTCCATGGTGAGTGGATACATACATTTATTTTAGACAAAGCCCAGGATGGCTTCTACTGATCCTCCTGCCTCAGCCTCTGGAGTAGCTGGGTCCACATACCCTGAGGGGTCCTAACTACAGTGCCCAGCAGCTCTCATGGGGCCTGAAGCTGACACAGGGAGAGCCTGCCTCGAGCCACCTACGATCCTAGTGCCTCCTGCTAGGAAGGAGCAGATGTGTGACGGGCCGCCTGTGGCCTGAGGTTCTGGAAGGGCTGCTGAAGGTGTCCTGAGAACTTAGAAAGGATGTGGCTGAACCACGAGACACCCTGAGGTCCCAGGTGGGACCTGGGATGGCTGGTGTCTAAGGCAGGGCTGTGGAGGGGACTGTGGTAGGTATGAAGAGGGAAGAGGTGACAGTGGTTAACATGAGCTATAGCAGTACCAGACAAGGACACACACAGAAGAAAAGAGCATCGGACAGGTCCATGAGAGCTGGGTGTCATCCAAAAACCCAAAGAGATAAGGACAGGAAGGAAGGAGTTCAGTATTCAGAGTGTCACTGAGGTAGCTTGCTGGCCAGTGACTGGTGACTTAACACACTAAACACTTATTGTCCCGAATTCCTAGAGTTCAGAGTCCAGAATCAGGAACGTAACCACACAAGTCCTCAAGAGCAGCAACACAGAGGGAAGTGATAGGAGAGGAAACAAAGGGGTTCTAAGGATGAGAGGACCCCACATCTGCTGTTCTGAGATGGAAGAAAGCCAGGGACTGGAGAGAACGTTCTAGAAGCTTAGGAAGTCAGCCAATGCATAATCACCGGGAAAGCTAGGAAGTAGAGAACCCCAACACGGCGGAGCCAACCAAGTCTGAGACATTAGCCTGGTAAGAATAACGCTGCAAGCGCTCTACCGGAGCCAGGCCCCCAGGCCTCACTGCCCCGAACCTGGAATGCCAGGCTGTTTTCACACTCAGAACAGCCAAGCCTAAGACCACCACTGTCCATAACACATCCTCCTGTCATTTCCTGACTGCCTGCTCTGCCCGTCACCAAGGCATTCTGTCAACTCTGCCTCCCAGAGCCCAGTGGAGCGGGCTGTGAAGGAATGAGTGACAGAGTGGCCGGGTCAAGAACAGCCCAGCTGTGCTCCTCTTTCATGAAAAGACAAGCCGGGCACGGTGAAAAAGGCCGGTCATCCCTGCATCTGGGAGGCCGAAGCAAGACTGCTGTTTTACAAACAATCAGGGCTGGGACTCGGTTGATGGAGCACTTGCCTCAGTGCTGTGGCTTCCATGTCCAGTACTGCATGACTGGGCACGGCTGGGTACAACTCTGATACCAGCGCTCTGGAGTGGAGGCAGGAGCATCAGGAATTCAGTGTTCTTCAGCAACATGGGGAGTTTGAGGACAGCCCTGGGCTAAAGGAGATCCTTTCTTCCTTTTATAACTCTATGGCATTTTTTTTTTCTTTTTGACGACGGGGTTGGGGGTGGGGAGGGGCACTTCAAGACAGGTTTCTCTGTGTACCCCTGGCTATCCTGGAACTCACTATGTAGACCAGGCAGACTTCAAACTCAGAGATCAGCTTGCCTCTGCGTCCTAAGGGTTGGGATTAAAGGTGTGTGCCACCATACCTGGCCTATTATTGCTTAAGATAGGGTTGCCATAGTACCCATGACTGGCCTAGAACCCCCTATGTAGATCAGGCTGGCCCTGAACTCACAAGTGCTGGGAGAGAAGATGTGCCTGGCTTTAGACATAAAAAAAACGAGGCAGTGGTGGCGCGCGCCTTTAATCCCAGCACTCGGGAAGCAGAGGGAGGCGGATCTTTGTGTTCGAGGCCAGCCTGGTCTACAGTGAGTTCCAGCCAGACATAAACAAAAAGAAACCCTGTGTCGGAAAAAAAAGGGGGGGGGGGGACACGAAACAGTAAAAGTTTTCAGGTGGAAGCAGTGGCGCGCACCGCCACCTGACTTAGGTCGGCCTAGGCTACAGAGTGAGGCCCTGTCAACCAACCGATACAGTTTTGGGAACTGGAAGCAGGGGTGCACGCCTGTCTGAAGGAGCAGGACTTCAAGGTCAGCCTCCGCTACACAGAATGTTCACAACAAGCCTCTGCTACTAGAGAAACCGCGGCCGCCCAGACGAGCGCAGCGCCGCCCAGACGAGCGCAGCGCCGCCGGAAGCAGCCTTGTCCGCCGCCCACCTTCACTCGCTGCGCCTCGTTGATGCACTGCTGGTAGCTGCCGATGTAGAAAGCGTTCTTCACGTCGAACAGCTCGTCTACCTCTCCGGAGCCGCCAGAAGCCGCGCCGGGCGCCGGGGGAGCCATGTCGCCACACCTACACCCAGCCCGCTTCCGGGGAGACACGTAGGCCGGAAGCAGGACTCCGCCGCCAGGAACTGTGGGAAACAGAGTCCTACCGGACCAATCGGCGGCATTGAAACTGGAGCCGCGTGATGCAAAGCCTCCTGGGAATTGTAGTTCGTATCTAGTCAACGAACACGACGGTTTCAGGCAGAAAACGCCAGAAAAGCTGTCGAGGCTGGGATTGGCTGAGGAACCAGGATAGGTGCACGTGACGCAATATTAGCGCGCCGGACGTGTCCATCAGTTGCTCCCAGCGCCAGTCCGGAGCATGGCGGGGTTCGCTGAGCTCGGGCTGTCCTCGTGGCTCGTGGAGCAATGTCGGCAGCTGGGGTTGAAGCAGCCCACGCCGGTGCAACTCGGCTGCATCCCGGCAATCCTGGAGGGTGAGTCCTCTCCGCTCTGCTCGCGCCGTTCTCTGTCCCCTCTTCGTTAGTCTAACTTGGGTCCCACGAGTCAGGCTCGGCTTCGGCTGCTTCCGGGACCCTGACCCGCAGTGTTGACTTTCAGGCTGCGACGGACTCGTGTGCATCGTCACACAGGCAACGGCACCTCCGAAATTTTCCTAGTGCCGAGCATAGGGAGAGTTTGGTGAATGAATCCGTGGCACAGCAAAAATAGGGTAGAGCTGGCGGTCATTCTGACTTAGCGAACAGAAACAGGAGCCGTCAAACTACAGGTGAACATCAGGGCTCCGCGTTTGCGCCAGTGCTCTTCGTCCCAGTTCACCTTTGCCGTCCCTGGGCCGGGCGGTCGCGGCGGTGGCGGCACACGCCTTTAATCCCAGCACTCGGGAGGCAGAGGCGAGTTCAGGACAGGCTCCAAAGCTACACAGAAAAACCTGTCTCGAAAAAAACAAAACAAAACAAAACAAAAAAGAGACATCCTCGGGGCCAGGCGTGGTGGCTCTCAGTCCTCCCAATATACAGCAGGTGGAAGCAGGAGAGTCAAGGGTTCAGCATAGTCCTCAGCTATGTAGCAAGTTCCAGACCAGCCTGGGCTACTTGAAACTTTGTTTCAAAGAAGCAATCATAATGATTGGGGAGATTAGATAGTAATAACAAATTCAAGGAACTAGTGAAAAGTGAGTTTTTAATATTCCGTTCTGTGGAAAAGGTGCCAGCACAGAGAAAAGGCAAAAATGTCTGGCGTGCCGATTTCCAGCAAGCTTGGAAGCCTTTTCCCAAATCTGGAAAAGTTCATGACGTTTTCTTCCGTAGACCAGCAGGGCTTGTCCCCTTCCCAGATCCCCCATCCCATTGGTTTAGGACCCCCAAGCCTTATCTAATGAATAGTTTGGAGATTGAGGCTGCCCTCCTTTTCTGATCATGGGCTCAGTCACATAGCAGACACCTGTAATTCTCCAACCCTTAGAATTATTTTTTGTTTTGTTTGTTTTGTTTTTCGAGACAGGGTTTCTCTGTGTAGCTTTGTGCATGTCCTGGAACTCACTCTGTAGACCAGGCTGGCCTCGAACTCACCGAGATCCACTTGTCTCTGCCTCCCAAGTGCTGGGACTAAAGGCGTGTGCCACCACCGCCCAGCCAAGCCTTAGAATTCTAAGACAAGTAGCCACCAACTAGGGGAAAGGGGCCCAGCACCTCCTGCTCATCTGTAACCTTGATGAACTCTAAGTGCACCTCATACTGAAAACAGACTATAAACATCTGTTTCTTACAATAATGAGTGAATGCCCAAACGGAGCGGTTGTGGCCCCTGCTTCATGTACCTGCTTTGCCGTCTACCCAGGTCGAGATTGCTTGGGCTGCGCAAAGACAGGAAGTGGCAAGACAGCCGCCTTTGTGCTTCCTGTCTTGCAGAAGCTGTGTGAGGACCCTTACGGCATCTTCTGCCTGGTCCTGACACCTACCAGGTGAGCCTCCACACACCCCTTGCATGTGACTAATCTGGCTGTGCTTTCGAAGCGAGCGCCTTGACCCTGAGTCTTCTCTCTCCCACCAGCCTGCTCCCAAATAATGACATGGAGACTTATTACTCATTTATGAAAGCTCAGCCTATAGCTTAGGCTTGTTCCCAACTAGCTCTTATAACTTAAATTAACTGATTTATATTAATCTGTTTTATCATGTGACATTACCTCTCTTCTCTGTCTTGCACCTCGCCTCCTGTTTCTTCTCTGTGTCTCCTGGCATCTCCTGCATGCCAAGATTCTCCTCCTCTTCCTTTCTCTCCCTGAAATCCCACCTATACCTCCTGCCCAGCTATTGTCTGTTCAGCTTTTTATTACAGTGATATATCTTCACACAGTGTACAGTCTCCCACAACATTTCCTCTTGTATAAAATAGGATAAGAATCACTCCTTTTTGTAGGAATGCAGAATCAAGCAGGTCTCATGGTATGTGTGATAAGTTCCTAGGACTCAGGAAAGGCTGGCCAGGAGGGAGCTACAAGCAGTCTCACAGCTAGGGAAACAAAAAGATATTCTTGGGTCAGCAAGATTTCCTAGCAGGGAAAGGGTGTCTACAATCCTGATGACCTGGGTTCAACCCCAGGGACACACACGGTAGGAGAGAACTGACTCCGGTGAATTGGCCTCTGACCACCACAGTAGCGCCATGGCATACACATACACACTACTCAAGGATATTGTAGGCCTATAGCTTCCTGTGTACAGAGGTTGAGAGGACCGAAAACAGAAGGGATGCTGGAGCACTATTAGTGTACCTTGAATGTGGGTCTCAAGTGTCACACCGAAGGTTAGATTGTGTAGAGGCCAGAGGGTAATGTCAGGCATGTTCCTTAATTGCCCTCCATCTTATTTGCTTTTTAAAAAAAGATTTATGTTAATGATACATAGGTTTGTGTGTGGTTATATGCATGTGAGTGCAGTACCCACAGTGGCCAGGAGAGGGTGTCAGGTCTCCTGGAATTACATGCTGTCTAATGTGGGTACTGGGAACTGAACTCAGGTCTCTGACCCATTGGGTCCTCTTCTGAACTCCTTTCCACCCCCACACCACAGGGTCTCACTTTGTAGCCCTGGCTGTCCTGGAACTCACTGTATAGGCCAGGTTTTGTTTTGTTTTGTTTTGTTTTTTGAGACAGCATTTCTCTGTATAGCTTTGGAACCTTTCCTGGAACTCACTCTGTAGCCCAGGCTGGCCTTGAACTCACAGAGATTCACTGTCTCTGCCTCCCGAGTGCTGGGACTAAAGGCGTGCGCCACCACCTCCTGGCTAGATTTATTGTTTCATGTGCCTTGTCTGCACACTAGAAGAGGGCATCAAAATCCAGACAGGGTTCCTCACTGAAACGGGGGCGCATGAATTGGCGAGGTTGGGTGGCCAGTGAGCCCCAGCCACCCTGCTGTCCCATTGCCCTTCCTCACCCCCCCACTGAGGTGAGAGGTAACAGCAGCACCCGAGCCTTTGCAAGGATGCTGCAGATCTGAACTTAGGTCCTCACACTTGAGCAGTGAACACTTTGCTCTTATGTTGATTTGCTGTTTGTATGTGCATGCCATGACCTCATGTGGAGGTCAGAGGTGGTCCACCTGCAGGAATCTTTTATCTCCTTATGTGTTGATTTACTGTTTGTATGTGCATGCCATGACCTCATGTGGAGGTCAGAGGTCCACCTGTAGGAATCAGTTCTCCTTATATGTTGATTTACTGTTTGTATGTGCATGGCATGTGCACATGTGGAGGTCAGAGGTCCACCTGTAGGAATCAGTTCTCCTTATGTGTTGATTTACTGTTTGTATGTGCATGGCATGTGCACATGTGGAGGTCAGAGGTCCACCTGCAGGAATCAGTTCTCCTTATATGTTGATTTACTGTTTGTATGTGCATGCCATGACCTCATGTGGAGGTCAGAGGACCACCTGCACGAGTCAGCTCTTCCTTCCACCAGGTGGGTCCTGGGGATGGAACTCAGGGTGGCAGCTTGTACCTTACCTCCTGAGCCACGTTGCCAGTCCCGTTAGAATTGATTTTGAGGAGGCCATCAACATTAGGGAGGTGGAGGCCACAAGAAGCCCGGGGAAGGAGAAAGGACAGGAGACAGGCACAGGTACTCACTGACCCAGCTGGCCCTTCTCACCCACAGGGAGCTGGCCTACCAGATTGCTGAGCAGTTCCGGGTGCTGGGAAAGCCCCTGGGCCTGAAGGACTGCATTATCGTTGGCGGCATGGGTATGAGGGCTGAGAGGCTGGGGTGGGCCATGGGGTCCCTGCTGATCCCACCCACCCGGCCTCACCTCTCCCTCCACTCCAGACATGGTGGCGCAGGCGCTAGAGCTCTCTCGGAAGCCGCATGTGGTGATTGCCACCCCTGGGCGCCTGGCCGACCACCTGCGCAGCTCCAACACTTTCAACATGAAGAAGATCCAGTTCCTGGTGAGCCAGCCGCCTGGACTCTCCCTAGGGCCTGGAGCCAGACGCCAGGATCCCTGTCCTTCCTTTCCTTTCCTTTCCTTTCCTTTCCTTTCCTTTCCTTTCCTTTCCTTTCCTCTTTCCTCTTTCCTCTTTCCTCTTTCC